TAAAAAATTAATTATATACAATTGATGAACGAAAAATATGAATAATTTTCATTCCTTAAATTTTTTATATACAAACAATTGATTGATGACTTTGAACCTATTTAACTCCCATATACTCGGCCCTGCAGATGATTCGGTACTTTTGAAATTCCCGTGTAATCCAATAATCCATGATTGGAAATCTACAAAACAAAAAAAAAAGGTTAAAAGCAAACAGAATTATTTATATCATTTAATGAAATACGTGCAGTAAAAGTGCCAGGGAATATACTCACCTCTTTTCAATTCCTTGAATTCAGTTTCTCACATTCACACTCCGATATGATAATTTTCTATCCATCATTAATTTCAGACGCCACTGATTAATCACTCATTTACAAACTGTATTTATGTAAATCAATAGAAGGCATTTCTTTCTTGCCTATTTCGAATAAAGAATGTTGACAACTTGGCTTGCAAAACAGTATGCGCCCTACCACCCGTTCCATATATCCCCTCCAAGCGGCCGATAGTGATGTGACACTAGCGCCCTCGAGGTATTTGAAACCGGGTTTCAGGCGCATTATCGTAACCAATGTTCGGCCTCCTGGGCTCTATTCTCCATGGGCCCTGCTGATCTCCTCTATAATGTAGGGCCCGCGTATAAATTTGTCGATAACCGGAAGTGGGTTCTCAATACAGTAGCTCCTCGCATTTTGTAATAATTGTCAGGAATGTAAAATCGAACATTATAATCAATTGTATAATGAATGCAGAATCTAATATCTAAAATCCAATCTTTTCCTTTTTCGTGTATTCACCTGAAACCCGGCCCGAATATTTTTCTACGGAATTGTTGCTATACTGCGAAATAACTATCTATTTTGAAGAAAGCCTCCGATTCTACTCTCAGCGTTAGATCTTAATCCTTCAAATATTATTTCATCTCGTCTAATGTCTTAGTAAAAGAATAAAATATTTCGAATTCTGTAGAATAAGGTTTTTTTTAGTGACAATGCAACTCGTTGAACTGCTATTGGAGAATTGAATAACTACACACACGAAAAAAAATTAATAATAGAAAAACCTAGTGCTTTCTCTGAAAAGTTCTATTGCACTTGTTCTGGAACTTTATCAGAATTTTATTGGAATTTTATTAGAATTCTATTGAAAAAGGGTTTTTTTTTCCGCAATATTCAATCAAATATCATGCAACTTCCCCATGCGTTTTTACTGGATTTTTTGTTTACCGAAAAATAGCTATAGATGTTGATTTCTGTACATAATTTATTGTGATAGGATTTTCTCTATGAAAATTTTTGGGTATGGACTTTCTAAGTTTTTTTTTCTCAGAAGTGATATCAGAAACTGATAAAAAATGAAAACAGCGGAAAAGACAAAAAAATCAGACACAAGGACTCCTATCAACTATCCGTTAACAAAATGACATGATAAAATTGCAGAAATTTCTATAGAAATGGCGCAATAAACAAATGAAATTTTTCAATAGAATTTCTTAGAAAAAACGGGGTTTTTCTATGAAATTATTTCATGCGTGCATGCATTTTATCAGTCGATATATGAACCATCATGCGATAGAAAAAGACACTCTATCGGAAAAATAGAAGCTTGGGATATTTTACAGAAAATTGTGGGTCTTACGCATGAATCAATTCAATATAAAAACACTAGGCCATTCCATTGAAATACTCTCTATATAATTTATTTGGCTTAAATTTTCGACGTTTTTTTTGTTTGTTTTGCTTGAAGGGAAAAAAGACAAATTGAATGAAGAAAACTTTGAAAATTCAAGACGAGAAAATTCTATAGAAAATTTGCTATTGAACATTTCGAACACCAACAACTTATAGAAAGTTCTATAGAAATCCATTAGAGTTGTCTAGCGACATCGCTATGTTTTTCTATTGAATTTTTTCATACATGCTAGTTGACCTAGATGTGCAACTAATGGGGATGGAAGAATAAATGTGCAGTTTTAGGATTAAAAATAATAGCGCTATTAATTAAGTACATATTACATATATTTTACTACTGAGAGATTTTCGGAATAAACATGCGAAAGACTCTCATGTTTCTCGGAGGATTTTCTATCGAAAAAAGTAGTTATGCTAAGCGGGTTCTGGATAGTAGTTCGCAAAATCGCCACCAGATGCGCCATAAGGCGTGGAAGGTTCTGGAATGGTGGCGCCACCGTCGCGGAATTTTCTAGACAGATGACGTCATCGATGAATCACCTCATCAACTCGGGGGCGTGGTGGGGGTACTTCCTGAGTCCTGTTGGGACTTGTATGGAATATGATACTAGTGGCGGCACCACCGTCATGGAATTTTCTAGATGGATGACATCATCGATGAGTCATCGACTCGCGTGATGGGGGAATCCCTCTAAGACCTTTTGGGACTTGTATGAAATATAATGACCTGTTGAAACTTGCATGATATCGGATATTGGCGCCACCCTCGATCGAATGTTCGAGATGGATGACGTCATCGATGATTCATTCGGGCTGATGACTCATCGTTTCATGCAAATTAATGACTCATCGAGTCAGGGGGTGGTGGGGATATCTCATAATTCCTGTCGGGACTTGTATGAGATATGATACCAGTGAGAACTCGCAGGAAATAGGATATTATAATAAGTCATAAGTTCCTTGGAATAAAAATTACATCATAACTTATTTGTTCGAGAATATTCTCAATTATTCGAAAATTTTCTATAACGGTTCAAATCGGGGTGGAGTGGGGGAAGGTGGTGAGTTTCTATGCTGCGGGTAGGCGCCACCGTCGATCGAATGTTCGAGATAGATGACGTCATCGATGATTCATTCGGGCTGATGACTCATCGTTTCATTCGAATTAATAACTCATCGAGTCAGGGGGTGGTGGGGATATCTCATAATTCCTGTCGGGACTTGTATGAGATATGATACCGGTCAGAACTCGCAGGAAATAGGATATTATAATGAGTCATAAGTTCCTTGGAATAAAGATTACATCGTAACTTATTTGTTCGAGAATATTCTTAATTATTCGAAAATTTTCCATAACGGTTCAAATCGGGGTGGAGTGGGGGAAGGTGGTGAGTTTCTATGCTGCCGCTAGGCGCCACCGTCGATCGAATGTTCGAGATGGATGACGTCATCGATGATTCATTCGGGCTGATGACTCATCGTTTCATTCGAATTAATGACTCATCGAGTTAGTGGAATCGAATTTTCTAGGGGGATGATGTCATCGATGAGTCATTCGACCGTTGGATTACGACTCATTGGGGGATATCTTATAAAACGTGTTGAGACTTGTTTGAAATATGATCTTGTGATGGAAAATACCAGATGATTCTCGATTGTTCTCGAATATTCTTAATATTCTATGATGATTCATCCATTATCACTCGGAGTGGGGGCTCCCTATATAACTCGCGTACCCTGCCCGATCAACACTCATTCTAGTGTCAAGTGCACTTTTAGTAAATCTCAACGCGTAGCGTGAAGTTTACCGTATGGTTTGGGAAACCTTAAAGGTTTATTATCATGTGTTATTCTACTCATCATTTGCGAAGTAACGATGGAATCAGTACTAATCAAGAAATAATCGATGAGTATTTTGATGAAAATTTTCATGCCTTAGTGAAATATCTTGTGGCCGATTTACATTGTTTATGGGACAATCATGAGGTGTTGAAAGCTGATCGATGTCACTAGAGGAGGACCGACTGTCATTATTGCACCAACCAATATGAACAATTATCATACATCATTCAGAATATTGACAATTTGCAGAAATTGAAGAAGTTTTGCGAGGAGCTGAGGGAGAAGATAACGAGAATGGATGACAATGATGAGCTGGAACCATTGACTGTCAACGAGATTCAATGGTTGTACTCAGTTCCACCGTATTGCTTGAATGAGAGTGAGATTGTGAGCAAAGTATTTAGCCATGTATCGCCACATCTTACGCCATTAGATGAGTTCATCAATCGAATACGCAAGAACTTTAAAGAACTGCGATCAAAATGCCACCCTAACCAAGGATCAGAGTGTTATTCCTGTGAGAAATTATCTCAGACGTTGAGAATAATCAAAGACATTTTCAAAAATTTACATGATATGGTTGAGCTACTCAGTTTTGAATACGAGGTTTTCTTCAGCTCTCGCGGTCATGAGAAGATTGATTTGATTTGAAATACTGACAATTGCTATGCAGATGCATGAAAAAGAGAAGAAAATGAAGGTAATTAGTTTCCACCTACAACCGGAAATCCATCTGCTTCTACACTGAGATTATGCATATCGATCCACTCANAGTGAGAACTCGCAGGAAATAGGATATTATAATAAGTCATAAGTTCCTTGGAATAAAAATTACATCATAACTTATTTGTTCGAGAATATTCTCAATTATTCGAAAATTTTCTATAACGGTTCAAATCGGGGTGGAGTGGGGGAAGGTGGTGAGTTTCTATGCTGCGGGTAGGCGCCACCGTCGATCGAATGTTCGAGATANTCCCTGGGAAGAGATTGCTCGAGATCATGATCGATTCAGACGTCGAATAGATTTATGCGAGAAAATATTAAATCCTATATTATCACAAAAACATAGACGGAGCATTTTTGAAACTCGTTTCGAATAGTTTTTAAGTTATTATAATAATGTTTATGAGAATAGGGTATGTACAATGATGACATTTTANACTCGCGTGATGGGGGAATCCCTCTAAGACCTTTTGGGACTTGTATGAAATATAATGACCTGTTGAAACTTGCATGATATCGGATATTGGCGCCACCGTCGATCGAATGTTCGAGATAGATGACGTCATCGATGATTCATTCGGGCTGATGACTCATCGTTTCATTCGAATTAATAACTCATCGAGTCAGGGGGTGGTGGGGATATCTCATAATTCCTGTCGGGACTTGTATGAGATATGATACCGGTCAGAACTCGCAGGAAATAGGATATTATAATGAGTCATAAGTTCCTTGGAATAAAGATTACATCGNGTAGGCTGATGTATTAGCTGGGAAAGGTGAAGCTGATTCAAATTCTAGACAAATATCGACTGGACCACTCTTTAGGTACTCATTTTGTTTCGAGCAGTCGATAACAATCAATGAACCTTTCTCCAAGAACTCTGATCTAGTCAACAATGGCTCTGGTTCTTTTTCATAAAATGAGTCTTGGAAGTTCACATACATATTATACAATGTAGAGAATTGATTATGATCAATATCAAGATTCATGTTTCCATATGGATAACTTTGTGAATTTAAAAATAGCTTCACATCTCGAATTTTGCAATGATCAAAGTTGCTAGCATTAGTTGTTTTAGTTTTTCGTCCCGTTTGGAATCCTAGGATCACATATCGTGGTTTCTCTAACTGGTTCGATGTCTTCACCACCCAAACATGCTTCGATGATGTATTAAGCAGAGGATATTCGTACAGCTCCCAGGTACGAAAGCCTATTCCGATGGGTGTATCTTTGCCAATAAAGTTGAGCAGTTTCACCTTGCGTTCATCGGAAACTTTGATATATGGAATTAACCACTCAATTTTTTGTAATGTGATTTTATATTTTTCCTCAGGATTTTGAACTGTGATTGCTCTTTGAAGAATGGCATTGACATCCGTCTTGGATCTCGTGAGGATAAGCTCATGCTTTGCATTCACAATAATTTTCTGATAATCTTCAGCAAAGCCGAGAATCAAACTCAGTGGTATAGAAATATCGAAATACCCATTTGCATTTGTAATTGTCTCATCACTATCCATATGATCTCTCTTCAACCAACCAGCATTTTCCAATAAAGGCCATTGACTAGGATTTTGTGAAACATAATTTTTCATAAGACTTGTCAATCCAACGTTTTTCGCACGATCAATTTCAACACCATTGAGTACATATCAACTGTCTTCAAACACATGACAAATAGCATTATTCACGAATCTGGTTCTTTCGACTGGAGCTGCAGCATCCCCTTTTGTCAAACGTCCATAGATGTGGAGATAACTTTTACTTGGTAAAAGACACAAATCCTGATGTTGTACTGTTATTGAAATTTCATCATTGTTACCAAATGATGAAGAGGCAAATGAGCATGCATCTCATAATGAGCAATCGACTCATCAAACTCAACAGATTTCTGAATTTTCAATATATCCTCCATGATTTTCTGTTCAAAATATATTCTGCACTCTTGGTTTCAAATTCAAACTTTTGAGGAACTGAATATTTTGATGTGTTAACTGTTTGCCGGTCCCTTGACGACTGTTGGCTCCTCCCTTCGACAACATACTTTTATAATTCTTCCCAATTTTCGTTCTGAACACAATACCCATTATGTTCGCTTCACATGAATTCTGATTGTTATAGTTTCACCTTAAAAATTCACTAATTCACCATCTTGATCTACTAACTTGAGTTGGAGATGATCTATGGGTTGCACGACAATCGGTAGATAAATGAGGTTTTTCGGGACTTCCACAATCTTATATCCTGGTGGCACAGTCGGAAAAAATTCATGTATGATGTGTACCTTCTTCCCATTCATATAAGCACCGCTGGTGATGTTACACTCCACGCACAGAGAATTGACCTTGAGGATTCTTACAGGTACATCTGATATGTGAGTTTTATCAGGTGTTAAAATTTTCCTATCAAAGCCCAATAGTTGACCAATGGAATCAGAAGGGGTAAAATCTATTATATGACTACTCCTGATTTCGCTGCATAAAGTGTTATTTGCTTTCAAATCAATAGTAACATCTCTTCTTTGCAAGACCTTTTGCAAATAGTTTTGTATATCATCGATTTTATAACTACCTGTTGGTATCGTGATGGTATGTTGTCTCTCACCATCAGAATGATAAAATTTATTCTTCCCCTCATCGATATTCGGAATTGAATTGAATGTCAGCAATTCTACAAGACTCAAACTGTAATGATGATTAGGAGACAATTCAATTGGCGGGAAATAATTGGCTTCTAAAATTGAAGACATTCCCGATAATGTTAGTGTGAAAGATTCACTCATGGTTGTTGTCTTCGAACTGATTCAATATATCAAATTCCTCACTATTTATAGATTATCATCGAGGAATTTAAGACATAAATGTCCACATATTACTGTATCATATTCTTGATGTTGTTGGTGATTATATTTGATGATGCTACCAACACCGAAATACTTCATAAGTTCCTTTGGCGGTTGTAAATTTCGAAAACTATCGAAATACGTAATTTCGTTATTCCGTTTTCTGTATGCCACCCAATGCATGCCAGGACCATCTTTATCATCTAAATTGACGACAGCTGATTCATTTTTCTGAGGTCCATTCTTAGGTAACGCATTTCTCATGAATACTCCTCGGAAATATGGAATTTTCATTAATTTAGCAAATTTTATTATATCTGCATCGCTGAGGGTTCGGTGTGGTAGCTTGATTAGTTTTTTGGTCTCAAATGGAGACCTAATCCTGTTTTATATGGCTTCAAATATAATCCATTACCCATTGCAATTGCCTCCATTGATTGATTATGACGTTTGTTCTCCGCAAGATAATGTTTAGCTGCATTCGCATCATTTACGGCTTTTGCAATGCCTGCGGCGCCTCCAGCTAAAGCTCCCGTGGCACTTAGACCAGCAAACAATGGAATCAAGAATGGTAAGATTCCTCCAATTTTTCCGGGAACTGGCAATATTCGTGGTGATTTGATAAAACGCTTCCCTCCAGCTTTTCGGACAGCATCCCGTGCTGCCTGAAGAGCCGATGTGACTGCGTCTCCGGGGCGTATTCCTTGTTTCGCCATCCGAATTATCTGTTTCAGAGGTACTTTTTTCTGAGAAACACCACGACCACATGTCTTCTTCTTCTTCTTCTTCTTCTTCACAAGACTTTTCCCACGTTTCTTTGTGATCCTCTTCTTCTTTATCAATCCCACTCCTAACTTTGTTTTAGCTTTCATAGTATTAGCTACTGCCCATGCAGCAGCTTTCTCACCTAAACTTGCGTCTTTCGATAAAATACGACCTCAAGCTGACTCTTGTAAGATCCTAACTGCGTTGTGTCTAGCTGCAAGATTATCTCGATTTTTTGAATACGCAATATCGTGCTCTTTGCAAGCCTGATCTAAAGGGTTAATACCGGGATCACCACGAGCTAATCTTTTAGCTAACTTTGTGCCTGGTCCACAATATTGATAACCAGGAATATGAAGTTCAATTGGCAATTTATTGATGATCCTATTGATGAAACCTTTACCACTTTTCTTACGTCTGCTCACTTCCATAGCATCTGTCCAACTGAATGTGAAATGTATAAATACTCACTATTCATACATTTTGCCTCAGTTTACATGTGGATGTTGTGTATTACGCTAATCAGCGAAGATGAAATTCAGAGAACAAAAAGTTAAATTACCAATTCTGAATTTCGATGAGATTGTTCAGACTGATACTGACAAGGTGAAAGATAAACGTCATGGGGAATTGCTACCAAATACAGTGCGCGCCATTTTTTGTGGTCCCTCGAATTGTGGGAAGACGAATGCATTATTGGCTCTCATTACACATCTCAATGGCTTAAGATTTGAAAATGTTTACGTGTATTCAAAGTCTTTGAACCAACCAAAATACGAGTTTTTGAAGGAAGTCTTAGAATCAACCAATACGATTGGATATTGCCCGTTCAATGAACATGAAACCGTCATAAAACCCGATGATGCGCAACCTAATTCTATCTTTATTTTTGATGATGTTGCATGTGAAAAACAAGATAACGTTCGAGCTTTTTTCTGTATGGGGCGACATCGAGTTGTTGATTGCNCTTTATTTTTGATGATATTGCATGTGAAAAACAAGATAACGTTCGAGCTTTTTTCTGTATGGGGCGACATCGAGATGTTGATTGCTTCTATCTTTGTCTAACAGGATACCCAAACACCTCGTGCGCGATAATGCCAATTTACTGATATTATTTAAGCAGGATGATATGAATCTAAAGCATATCTATGAGGATCATGTGAACACAGATATGACATATAATCAATTCAAAAGCCTATGCTCATCATGCTGGAATATTGATAAATATAGTTTTGTAGTGATAGATAAGGATAGAGAAATTAATGATGGACGTTATCGACGAGGATTTGATTGTTTTATTAATATCTAAGATGCTTGATCTCTCTGACAGTTGTATCTCGGACTTCAACATGTCGAGTTGTACGCTGAACAAAGAGAAGCATATGCTACAGCAAATTACGAATGCAAGTGAAGCGATTCGTAAGAAACATAAGCTGATAAAACTAGGAAAGAATGATACGGATACAGTCCTCAACGAAGTTTTCAAACCGATGGTTACACCGTTACAGAAACTCGTTGAACAAACTACTGATTCCAAAATAGCAAGAAAGAAGAAAGTAAAGATTCCTGAGCTAGATCACCAAATTGGATTACCCAATCCATCACATTCCAGTAGAGTTATTGAGATGCATACTCGTGAAATGAGACCGCACGTCACTGAGTCAGCTTCATCATCAGCTTTCATGACACCAAAGAAAGAGATTAGCATTGACGATGATGATTAATATGATGGTGATATGAGCCAATATCATTCTATACTCGAAGACGATGATGATGAGAGTGACTTATCAAAACACAACAGAGACCAATACGGCAGATGAATACTTGCAGTTACTCACTACTGAAGATGGTAGGAGAGAATTAGATCCGCAGATTGGAGTCCGAATGTTGAAAAATAAGATGGTAATTGGAACTACATCCATTCAGTATGAAGGAAAACAAATATACATTGGTAACAGTGAGTATAAACAGACGCCAGGACTTCTTGAATTGCTTTTCAAAGCCACACCCAATTCAGACCTCATCACGGATGACGATAGGAGTGCATATACGAGAATTGTGGAATCTACTCATCTTAATATGTCACATTACAACCCGAAAAGAGGTGTGCGACAGGGTAATAAAGAAAGAATCGAAAAATTTGTGATAAAATCTCCACGCGGAAAAGGGTTATCAAATCAGATGATTGCTCGACGAAAGCGTAATATTGATTATCTATACTGGGATGATCCTAAAGAGTTGGTAGATAAACTCCGATTGTTATACGCATCTGAGGCTGCGGGAAATAACAACCATAACAATGAAATGATCTCCATCATTGAAGAATTAAGAGAAGCTGGATTCATATATTAAAGAATAGTCACAGTATTGAAGATTAGTATCAAGATGAGCGTTGATGTGTTCGGACGACATCTGACTGGGGGCGGATTTACCCCTTGAAATGTTCGAGGACCACCAGGAAGGNCTGAGGCTGCGGGAAATAACAATCATAACAATGAAATGATCTCTATCATTGAAGAATTGAGAGAAGCTGGATTCATATATTAAAGAATAGTCACAGTATTGAAGATTAGTATCAAGATGAGCGTTGATGTGTTCGGACGACATCTGACTGGGGGCGGATTTACCCCTTGAAATGTTCGAGGACCACCAGGAAGGGGGTTTAAACTTTCACCAGATGGACAATTTGATATAAAAAACAAACGATTATGTAATATTGCTGATGCTATTGATGATAATGATGCGATTTCCTTGAAAGTCTTGAAAGCGCAGTTGGAATCTTGACAAAAGCTCATCATGAAGAATCTCGAAGGCAGTCAAGCCTCAGCTGGTGGTGAGGGAAGTTCAAATAAGGTTAACACTGATAAATTAATTGAAGACAACACTATAGATTCATCGCAAGTATTTGGA